TTCATCCATCATCCATCCATCCATCATTCATCCATCCATCATCCATCCATCCATCATTCATCCATCCATCATCCATCCATCCATCATCCATCCATTCATCATCCATCCATCATCCATCATCCATCATCCATCCATCATCCATCCATCCATCCATCATCCATCCATCATTCATCCATCCATCATCCATCCATCCATCATCCATCATCCATCCATCCATTCATCCATCCATCATTCATCCATCCATCATCCATCCATCCATCATCCATCATCCATCCATCCATCATTCATCCATCATCCATCCATCCATCATTCATCCATCCATCATCCATCCATCCATCATCCATCCATCCATCATCCACCCATCCATCATCCATCCATCCGTCATCCATCATCCATCATTCATCCATCATCCATCCATCCATCATTCATCCATCCATCATTCATCCATCCATCATCCATCCATCCATCATCCACCCATCCATCATTCATCCATCCATCATTCATCCATCCATCATTCATCCATCCATCATCCATCCATCCATCATCCATCATCCATCCATCCATCATTCATCCATCATCCATCCATCCATCATTCATCCATCCATCATTCATCCATCCATCATTCATCCATCCATCATCCATCCATCCATCATCCACCCATCCATCATCCATCCATCCATCATCCATCCATCCACCCACTCTGCTGTGGCCCTGCAGCCTCACAGCTGATTTAAGACCAACAGAAGCTCTTCAGATTTTTCTTTTCTTGCTTTGTTTTGGAATGGAGTGCTTTAGAGTGGCTCTTCCTCATCTTTCTGATGTTACAGTTAATAAAAGCTGTTTTAACAAACACACAGTGTGTTCTTCAACGTGTTCTCCTGATCGTACAACACATCACACTTCAGCTGCAGTTTGTTCAGACAGCAGGTCTTACCTGGTAAAACTCCCGAAGCCAAATTTTCTGTAGATTTTCAGGCTGTAAAGAGAAAAAAAAACAAATGATTAGATAATAAAACACTAAAAGACTCACAGAGATAATGTTGAAACAACTAAACGTGCTTTTAAAGTTACTTCCTTTCAGATGTTAGCATTATGTACACAAGAAAATATGTTCTGAAAGAAAATAAAAACAGTGAACTTAAACATGATTCCATAAAGATCTGAATTATTTCAATGATTATGGTTCCAGTTGTTAAAAGAATCACAGTTCATTGGATTTTTATTTGACCTCATTATGAATACATGTGTTTTATTACTGACCTCTTAAATAATTAGAATAAATCAGGAAGCAGCTGAGCTTCAGTTATGACCTCATTAATCTGAACATCCAGGACATTAAGGAGCTGCTCAACTTCTTTTAGTTGGTTCTGATAATCACACACACACACACACACACACACAC